AATTCTATATGCTATTTCTGGTTATCAAATTCCCTTTGCAACTTTCTTTATTCATATTACTTTCTTGATTCGTGCTTGAGTGTCGTACGTAGCTTTCCTAAAAGTCTACGAGCATCTTATTTTGGACAACATTGATGTTTATCAGCCCACGCAATCACACAATCCATTCAATTTTGGGCCCAATTCAAAAAAGCTAAGTATCCAAAAATCCTCTATATTTGATACAAAAAAGTCACAAATTGAAACATTTGAAAAGATATTTTAAGTGATATGATTGCTTTTACTCTTGTTAAGTGTGTGTAATTTTAACATTGAACAACGGACTTTGAATTCTGATCACTCAAGTACGCTGGACGAGCACACACACTCGTACAATGGCCGAGCACACACAAGGCGCTACCGGGTCACGTCATATGAGTGTGACGATTAATAAGCTCCAATATAAATGTTAATACCGCACACTCTTGACTTCATACAGGTTCTTGCGTGCTCTTACCTCTTCCTAGTGCATCACACTTCGACCTCGGGGGACGAGTCTCACGTTCAAAAGTTTTTACTTGCACGTTCGAACTACTAACCTCGGGCGGCGAGTTAAACTCTTGTTAGGGGCCTAGAGCCACGCTCTTCTGAGCAATTTTGTCACTTAATTGACATTCACATTTCTCGAAAAGGTTAATATACTTTAGTTCTGTGGGGTTGGATTATCCGTTCGAGTGAGGAGTCCGACTCACTTACTCGTGGATTCAATCTCTTTCAGAGGCTGGGTTAAGGCCTAACTTGGGAACTTGATGTCACTCTTTTCAAGTAGTGAGTCCGACTCACTTACACACTGAGCCGTGGTTCGACACCAGGGCAGATGCTCTATTCTACACTAGTTTCTTTTATGTGTAGGTACAACTTAATGAAGTGGGGGACTGAGGGTCTTACCGTCTTCAAGGAAGTAAATGAAGAACAGTTCTAGCCATCCTATTCGCAGATGGCGACCATTCCAATAAAGGGTGAGGATCTCACCTTTTGCTTCATCTGGGGGGCGTCAGATGTACTCTTTTCCCATTATTAGGATTTTTTCCCATTGGTTTTTTTCTAATGAAGGTTTTTAAAGAGGCATCTCCCCAACATTGACAAGGGAGGAGATCTTCTAGTCTCGGAGAAGAGTAACTGACTTGTACTACTCCCTCTTAGTTGAGTCTACTACTCGACTAAGGGAGTGGGGGACACGTGATGGAGTAATGGGACTAGACCCAAAGCCTAATCAGTCCAAACCCCGAACTTGGACCCATGGATCCAAGTCCACAACCTGGAGCCTGCCAGCCAAGCAGAGAGCCTGCCAGCCCGGCCGACCTCCCAGTCCGGAAGAGTAACGGTCAAACAATTAATGCGTTATTAATTATGTATTTAATTCCGTATTAATGTTGTAATTAATTAGTCATTATTATCGATAGCGATTACGATTTGTATACGCCTATAAAAGGCGGGTTGTAATTCAGATTAAAGGGGCGATTTCTATATGCTATTTCTGGCTACCAAATTCCCTTTGTAACTTTCTATTCTCGTATTACTTTCTAAATTCCTGCTTGAGTGTCTTACGTAGCTTTCCTAAAAGCCTACAAGCATTCTATTTTAGACCAACACTGATTAAGTCACAAGTCACAACATGTGAGGGGTGGCATTACTGACCCAAGTGGCCAAATGCCCAAATGTATTGACTATTGAGCAGTAGGATTATTTAGTCCGAGGCTCAAAGGCTGGTGATGAATTCAAAGCTGTGAACGGTCAACCGAGTACCGAGTAGATATACTCCGTCTGGTTCCAAAACAAATTCAGTGTTTGACTTCACACAAATTAAGGAAATAAATTTGACTTTATTGTAGATGGAGTACAATATTGTGACACTGTTTGACACTGTTTTGATGTAGATAATTTGTCAAATAAGGAAGGAAGAAGAAGTGTGAAGTTTATTTTGGACCTACCCAAAAAGAAAAGTGTGAATTTGATTCCACTCGTTACTGGCTGCTCCAAAACATGATCTGAGTTTGCATTTGGAGGCAGCAATGGTTGGACGTAACCTCACTTTTCTAAGTCAAAAACCCAACTCCAAGAATAAAAAATACGTAGTGCCTGGTAGCCAAGTCAACGCCCGTCTTCTGTGAACTTCGATTTATACGTAGTATTTTATAGAGCGGTGACATGATTTATAATCTCCTTATCTCAAAATAAAAGTTCCATAACATATTCTGAGATGTGACCGATCATAGATTTAACTCCGTATCATATTGTAATTAGAAATTTTATACTAATTATAAAAAATGAAATTGAGGATTATAAAAATCTGCACTTTAAAATAAATAATAAAAGTGGATAGACAAAATGAGTCTTTATTCTATAATATCTTTTTTTAGCTTACTTCGTCTTTATAAAAAGGAAGTAAGATAAAATGGACAAGATAAAAATCACGAGATAGATAAAAATAAAAGAGGTAAAGGAAGAGAAGTGATCAATCGTCCACACGTATATGCATCTTCCACTTTGCTCTCTCCAAAATCATACTCTCATCTAATCCAAAGACGCATATCATTTTTGATTCCTCTAATTCAAGTCTGTTTGGGTTTTCCCCTCCCCCTCCTACCCGCCTCTTCTACACACATGATCGACCAAACCATTGCAATCGAGACTCTTGCATCTTATCTTCAATAGGTGATACTTCAATCTTTTGTCGAATTATCTCATTTCTCAAGCGATCTTTTTTAGTATGTCCACACATATATCCAATGTAACTTACGCATCTCTGGCACACCCATCTTTTGAATGTGACATTGTTTCACTGCCCAAATCCCTACCTCATACATTAGTGCATGCCTAATTGACGCAATAAAATTTACCCTTCCACATAGAAATGCGGATTCACTCTTCTACTTCATCCATCCCACTTTGATTCTATGGGACACATCTTTATCTAATTCATCATCCTTCTTAATTATAGATCCCAAGTAACAGAACATACCACACACGTGTATCTCCTTGCCATCAATGGTAATCCCACTACTACTACAACTTATACCGCCACCAAACTTGCATTGCATATACTCCGTCTTGCTTTGACTTAGTCTGAAACCATTGGTCTCCAAAGTTTGTCGCCATACTTCCAACTTTGTTTTAACGCCCGATTGTGTCTCATCAGTCAATAGAATATTGTTGGCAAACATCATGCATCACAGATCTTTTCTTTAATTGACTTTGTAAGTTCATTCATGACTATAACAAATAAGAAAGGACTAAGAGTCGATCCTTAGTGCACTCCGATAGTAATAGGGAACTCCGCATTCCCCCATACACTAGTACAGACACTTGTAATACAAGACTCATACATATCCATCATGATACTGATATACTTATGTGATATGCCTTTTCTAGTCAAGCTCATCAAAAGACTTTTCGAGGTACCCTATCATATGCCTTTTCTAAGTCAATGAAAACCAAATGCAGACCCCTTTTTGTGTCTCTTTACTTCTCCACAACTTGTCTTAGAAGGTGAATAACCTCGATTGTTGAGCGTCAATGCATAAAACCAAATTGATTTTCTGAACTTTTCACACTTCTTCGAAGTCTTTGAATGTATATGGTATACCCTCAAAATCTTTGAGTTAAAGTCCCTATTTATAGATAGAAAACAAATTATGGTAACGACGAACAACACTACATAAAATCCTAACATAGTAATAAGAGTTATAATCAAGCAAATTGACTCGTAAGTTACTCGAGATTGACTCGACTCGCGAACTTATCTCGAACCGAACAAAGTCAAGCTCAACCTATATGCAAATTCGACTCGAAAAGCCCGTGAGCTGCTCGATTGTGACTTTTTTTTTAAAAAAATGCCAATTAGTTTTTATCCCTCCAAAAAGCCTTTGTTAATTCTATTTAAAGCGATACTTTCTTTCTCCTATGCATAAATTTCAACCGCATAATTTTACTTTATTATTTTACGTGCAGGGTAAATTTGACCAAATTTTGTAGGACATATAAGGTATATAAATGCATGTATCTGGTTTAAAAATTTGAACAACAAGAAAAAGGTTTAGAGTTAGATTACTTCTAATTAAACTGGTTTCCGTCCTAGATAAAATTAACCGGATCAGATCATATCAAACTTAGACAAACTGATCAAGAATAGACTCCGACCTTTTTAAAATATACATAGAAATGATAGAATATACATTTATCAGATCGACTAGACTCGTTTAAACCAGGCCGGACCTAGAAAATTGTAGTTTAATTAATGATGTTTTTGCTTGGATTTGTTCAATTCTAGACCAGATCGGACCAGACCAACTTTAGATTGACTATACCAGATTTCGACATTTGTAAAATACACACAGATTAGACATTCATCAGACCAGACCAATTTAAACCATACTAGACTACACTAGACTTAAACAGATTAAATCATATTAAATCAAACAAGACCAAACCAAACAATTTCAATCCAATTGAAAGAGGAAAATGTTATCTGTACATGCCAAATTGACATGACATTTTGCATACCACACAGATAATTTGCATACAATTTTTTTTATCATTTTGTAAAGAGAGTAGTTTATTGCTCACACAATTTAAACGGGCGTGTGAAATATTTTGTACGAGTACAACTCACAAAAAGCATTATTGCTTAAAAACATCCGTAATACTCCCTCCGTCCCGAATTGAATTGCAAACTTTGATCGGCACAAGGATTAAGAAATGACAATAAATGATGCTTGCTTTTTACACTTTTGTCAATCTTTCTAAAAGTAGATGTCTTTAAGTTAATGATAGAAAAGTAAAAGTAAAGGTAAATTTGTCACTTTATTCTTATTTACATACCTAAAATAGAAAGTGGAAAATCATTTTAGGACAAACAAAAAAGGAAATTTTGCAAATCAAATTGGGACGGAGTGAGTAACATGCTAAGGTCAATAGTTTTAAAATACTCCTTACTATGGGAATTACGTCACTGTGGAACCCCTAGCTAGCTTCCGCTTTCACCCTTACCGAGTAATTGTTTGAAACTTGCCGGCGGCGGCCGGCAAGAGCTTCACAAATTCTAACGACCTACCTAATTGCAGAAACTCCCCGGCTGTTTCTTATACCTCACGTTGCTTTGAACTTTGAATACTCTATGCTGCACAAGAATTTTTCAAGACAAATCCATGACTCTGGAACACTATAAATTTATCACCTTTCCCGCATTCCTTTCATTCCACACAAACTTCCAACTTCTTAATTTGAATATTTCATAAATAGATCCCCCACTTCAAAATCTCCTAATTTAATTTCAGGATGAAATCTTTCGGCGTGTTCTTGTTCTCTTTGATGACAGCTTTGGCTACTTTCTCCCTTCTTTTGGGTTGCTCAGAAGGTCGTCCCCTTGATATCTTGAAGGTCCATGGCGCCTCCACCGCCGTCTTGGGTGGCGTAGGAAATGCATGGGGTTTGGACTGGTTGACTCTGGGTGCCGTCAAGGGTGGAGGGCCTAGTCCCGGCGGGGCAGGCCATAGGTTTTTTACTGACGGAGGAGTCAAGAACTCTGGCCCCAGCCCCGGCGGCGCAGGCCATAGGTTTTTTACGGACGGAGGAATCAAGAACTCTGGCCCCAGTCCCGGTGATGGACACCGGGTTGTCGCCGGTAAACGTCAGTGAGCAATGAATTAAACCCGCCGTTATGATCCAATTTTTTAATTCAAATTCATATGTACGCATTATTACTTGGTTCTTTATTCTTGTTTCTCGATTATTTATATCATGGGGTTGAGCGAACCCAAAAAGGCCAAAAGGCCAAAACGCTACTTGTATAAGTGATTTGCTCACTCTCACAACTTAGTCATGCAATTTTCTGTGTGAACAAAAAGTTAGTCTGTATAAATAAATAAAATATTGTACACATTTGTTGACCCCGGATTGGATGTGCATTTTGTATTAGGAAAATATCAGGCGCCATTTAGTATATGAATTGTTAATTTGTTATAAATGATGGTATAATACCATTAATTCCTACAATATATTTTAGTGGTCTCATTATCTCAAAATTTATTACTACGTAATAATTAAGTTATTCAATTGTAATATTATAATTGATCCATACAAGCAAGATACAATATCTTGAGGGTATCATAAAATTTGTCTTTTTTGTTTTGTTTTTGCCGGTTAATGTAAAGACATTTTTGCTAATGGGCACAATAAGGAGCCACAGAACTCCACTAAAGGTCTAAAATGTATAGTTGAAAACGTTATATTGCAGAAAACGGGCTAATTATTTGATATAGAGAACAGTGCAATATGAATATCGAAAAGAACCTCACAGATTACTATTCATGAAATGAGCAAAACTAAGTCATTATTGCCAGCATGCTTATTTCCAGTGAGTCATAGACTCATAGATGACAAACAGCCAAACATGGTTCCATATCATCACAATACCATGGGAGCCAGGTAGGGGTGGACTCAGGCCGGGCCAACCGGTCCGGAACCGGACCGGCCGGTTCGGGCCCGGGCCGGGCCAATTTTTGTTTTTCCTTTGAATTTTTTTTAAGTTTTTGGGTTGGACTGGGTATTTTGGGCCATTTGAGGTGGTTAGGGTTGGTTTGGGGGTGAGGGGGAGGGTTGGGGGTTAGCTAGGAAAAGCCCAAAAAAAAAATAGAACCGAGGCCCGGCCCGGGGGTTACCCGGGCCGGTTCCGGGCCTCCCATACCTTGAACCGAGGCCCGGCCGGTTCAAGGCCCGAACCGAGTCCATCCCTAGAGCCAGGAGAATGTACCTGAGCTACCCCCACTGTAAATCCAAAGTTACTGGTTTTGTCTTCAAAGTCTTGCTGATGCAGAATCCCATGCATCTCTTATTGTCATCGCTCATTTCAACAAAAACTCCAGATTCATTATATAATGGGCTTAAAATCTCTGTTGATTCACTTGATTCATTAGCGACTAATGACGACCCAATTTGACAGGAATATCACAGGCTCCATTAGCTTGTTTATGATTACTTGCACTTTACAGTATACTGCCCTTGCTATTTTCTCTCACCTTATTACGGCATCCATTTGCTTTACAAATGTCATTAATATCATCTTTAACTATTGTGTAAGTGTGCATTTGCTTTCTAAATTCTTTCATGATGTTTAGGAGATTGACTCATCGAGCATTTGGTCTATACTTCTTCTCCACAAATCATTCATTCAAGTGAAATTTGTGAAATTTTCAACAAATAATGGATATGTGATGTCATATACTAGACACACATTCACATAATCAATCTGTTGAAGAGTACAAGAGCAAAAAAACTCACATAAGGCAGATGAAGGTTACATCATAAACTAGCTAGTGAAGCACCGTTAAGAGAGGCACAAAAATCCATTTATGATATTGAACTCTGAGTTTCCTCATTAGTATCCCACTGGCTCTTAGGTATCTCTCCAGAATCAGAGATTGTGACCTTCTTCCTGGGTTTGCCACTGTATGTTCCTGCTCCCCCTTCAACTGCATATACTGTGTCCATCCCTTTCATTACTTTCCCAAACACAACATGCTCCCCATCCAACCTGTCACCCACCACATTGTCAATATATAGCTACCAAACACATCCTGGCTGAGACATTTTACCCTGACAGTAAAATATTTATCTCTCAACTCCAAGTGTGCGTGCATTTTCCTATCAAACCCAACCAATTAATTTTCATACACCAGATTAACTCAAACAAGTTTCATATGCATGAATAAGTGCTTAAAAAGATCCATAAGCCCATTATACAATGTTTGAAATCTGTCATTTAAGGCTCGTTTGGTTAGGGAATTTCAGGGGGTGTTTTTTAATATTATTTGTAGGTTAACTTGGTAATTTTTTTAACGAAATACACAATCTATTTCCATCATTTCCAATGGAGCCAAAGACTCCCTACGTTTTGGCTTGGAAATATGATGGAATAAAACAAAATGACCCACTAAACTACATGCACTTCTTTGTTATGAAGCAATAGTCAGTCCACGCAATTTTCGACGCGTTTTTCACCATGGGTGATCACTCATCCGGAAACAGTCTCTCTATACTTTAGTACAGGGGTAAGACTGCGTACACCCCCCCTCCACTCCACCGTAGGTGGGAGCCTTTGCGGCACAAGGGAAATGATGACGATGATGAACGAAATACACGATCTAACTCATCAAAAGTCTAATACTAATACCTTCAGTCCCTTCACTCCAAATTGCCCAAAGCCCCAAACCTATCAAGCACTTAAAGAACTATAAAAGGTTGATGCTCACATGGACTCTGACATGTCTGACTTGGAAATTAAACATAATCCATGAGTGTGCTCTGCCTTAGCTGGTTATCCTCTATCTTAATGGGACTCTAATCTTCCCAGAATAACCTAACCATGATAGAACCAACAACAGTGGAGAAGGCTTATTTTATTACGGAGTATAATTCAAATGAGTGTGGCTGGATGTCAGCATCAGCTTTACTTAACCGGTCACCAACATGTAAAGTGGGCTAACTAATTCCCTTTTATGGGCCAAATGGTTATCCATAGATCACACTTTAGAAGTAATGTATGCAACCACATTGCATAAACATACCAGCTTGCCTTGACGGTTGTTATGAAAAACTGGCAGCCATTAGAATCACGACCAAAGTTCACCATGGAAACAACACCTGTTTGGATAACATAAGTAAAACAACTTAATTATTTTCCGCCTCATAGAGACAGAGAAAGAGAGATAGCATACAATGCAAGCCGATAGCGACCTGGATGGGAATGCTTAATCTTTAAATTTTCATCAGGAAAGCTTCCGCCATAAATGGACTCGTTTCCCCTTCCATCACCGTACGCAATATCGCCACCTTGAATCATGAACCCAGGTATTATGCGGTGAAATGGTGTTCCCTTATAGTGAAGGGTGATTCCATTTGCAGTCTTCCCCATCTCCCCTGAATTTTAATCATTGGTGTGCACACACCATAGAAATTAAATTTTACATGATTAATAAGTTCAAAACTGTAAAGTAAGTGCACTCAAGACAGTCCACAGAGTACCAGTGCACAAAGCCCTGAAATTTTCTGCACAACAGAAAGTGAATGAATGTTATTCAACGAGCAAAATCTGATACTGGGAAAGAAATGAAAACACTGCAATTGCATTTATTTTGCATGTTAACAAAAAAACCTAGACAACTAACTCTAGTGAACACCAAAAAGGAGCTGGTTTAAAACATACCAGCTGTTTTTGGTACAACTTTGCCATATAAGCCAATAACAATTCTTCCTGCAAAACACGTAAACATTATGTGGCCTAATTAGACATCACGTTAGCAGTTCCTTTGTACGAGAGAAGGGTTCAAACTATCACTTTGTTTTTTTACTAGTGAAGTGTTAGGAACTATTAGCGAGGAGTAATATATGTTGGCATCTTGCGAATACGTTACCTAACAAACGCTTATTAAAATATGATCAACCAAAAGATAAAAGGAATACCCTCCTAAATAGAAACACTTACCTATACGTTGCTTATCTATATCAACATCCAAAAATACTCTATGAGTGATCTCAAACACCTCTTCCACGTTTTCTCGCCACTGAAAAAATATTACAATGAAATACTGAGATACACTTGGCAGAGAGTAAAAAGGCCAATACTGGAAGAAATATAAATTAATGTTTTAAAGGAGTTATAGATCAATGACTATTTAATACTGTATTCTGAAGTACTTATCATTTTCAACTGAAATAGAAGCTATGCATATGTTTCAAAATGAGAAAGACTGAGATAATTGGATGACAACTCACCATTGTGTTCTAAATATGATTGCATTTTTAACATACTAAATTTTTCCCCGAATTAAAAGTAATCTGTTTAGTGGTGATGGCCAGTTCACAAACAAGTAAAATGCATATCACTGGAAAAATGAATAAGACCTCAGTATACATTTTTAACCGGACTGTCCTGTAACTCGATAAATAATATGCAACTGAATTTTATGAAGAGCTGGCTAAGCTACAGAACAGGAGTATATTAGTTCCACAGAGCCCGTTTAGTATAAAATTATCTTAAGATGCTGAGGTGGTGACTAGGCTGAGTTTGCTCAATTAAGAAATAAACACATTTTATTAGTAAAAATAAAGAAAAGTTACACAACTAAGGGCGCAAAATAAAAATTCAGTGCTTGATTGGACTCACATGCTAAATGGGCACTCAGTGGAGTTACAGGAATGTCCAACTAGTAGGATCTTTTCATATACGAAATGATTAATTAACTACTAATCTACCTACAAAGTTATTACTGAATAGCTTGACACACACATCCTTATGCATTCATTCATTTATGACAATATACACAAAGTTGTTTAGAAAGTGGTTCTCAACATTCAACAGTGAATTGAGTTGAAAATGAAATATTCACCCGGTATGGAATAATCCCCGAAAAGTATAGCATACAGCCATACACTAATCCAACACAGCCCAAATCCCAGAAATTAGAAAAGTGAAACTAAGCAGAAGAGGAATACCTGGAGAAATGAAGTGCAAGTGAAATATATGAGAACGAACGCGAGAAGAATGATGAGAAGGTAGCGTGTGCGAAATACAGCTGAGAGACCCCGACCCATCTTCTTATTCACTTCACTTAACCAACATTTATCAATTTATATTCTACTGCCTGTTGATTTATAACAATTCCCCACAAATATGTGTAAATATAGAGCAATATAATAATATGGTATCAGGATACAGGAGCCCGTTTTAGGGCAATATAAGAACATGGAGTTATTGTGGTGAGGCCTAGCCCCAACAAATAAAAGGCCATGTTCAGAATAAAGTAGGAGGCCCTAACATATAATACAAATAATACAAAAAATAAAACTTATCAATTGTACCACCAACATCATCAACATTAACACCAAAGCTAGCACTGACATTTTCATTCGTAATAATATTTTGTG